TTCGAAACTGGTTCAACTTTACTTCTTCGCATATCTCTCGAAAACACTTCGACTTTACCGAAAAATTCAATATTTGAACTTTATTTGCAACTCGTTTCGTGAAATGAAAAAAAAAATTTTTGTTAATGTTTGTGTATCTCATGGTTTTTGTCTGTCGAGATACAGCACTGTTTTATATTAGACCGAGTCGTAAATTTATTTTATACAAAAAGCATATTGTACCTTGATACATCAAAATAATAGATTGCCAAGACGCAACGTATTTAAATATTTATCTTGGCTGAAAATCTTTTCCAAGATTGAAGACATTTTTATTTTTAAAATTCCTTAAAGATATTCTTTTTTCCTCTAATCAGCTACCATCTTATCTCCTCTCCTCCATCCTACCCAAAGGACTCGTAAACTCCACTTCGAATTCCATGACTATTATTAATCTCAGGGGTTAAAGTATTTTTTCTCTCTCGCGAAGATTTACATTCGATTTGAAATTCCCGAAAAAAAAAATCTCAAAACGAATCATTCTTCGAGAAAGTTTTCCCTGAAACGAGTATCTGATGTAAATTAAGCATTGAAGCGATATTTCAATGTTGATAACTGATTGTGGTTGTTATCGTTGGAAGTTGAAATTACGAATTAATGTCCTCGATGTTTGTATGAACTTGCCTATGAAAAAGTAAAGATTGTTTATTTTCTCCGAGACTTCAAGATGGATACAAAAAAATGTTTTGAGCTACCTGACACTTGGCGAAGCAAATAAAAAGTCGATTCGACAAGCCGTCGACAATGGAGACAATAAGGCAAGGCTAGTTCCCAGTAAAAGTATTTTTTCTCTCTCGCGAAGATTTACATTCGATTTGAAATTCCCGAAAAAAAAAATCTCAAAACGAATCATTCTTCGAGAAAGTTTTCCCTGAAACGAGTATCTGATGTGAATTAAGCATTGAAGCGATATCTCAATGCTGATAACTGATTGTGGTTGTTATCGTTGGAAGTTGAAATTACGAATTAATGTCCTCGATGTTTGTATGAACTTGCCTATGAAAAAGTAAAGATTGTTTATTTTCTCCGAGACTTCAAGATGGATACAAAAAAATGTCTTGAGCTACCTGACACTTGGCAAAGCAAATAAAAAGTCGATTGGACAAGCCGTCGACAATGGAGACAATAAGGCAAGGCTAGTTCCCAGTAAAACCGCAAACACCGGTAATTCGACTTCGAATTGTAGCTGGGAAATAATGAACAGTACGGGACCAACGTAATAACGGTAGGAAGCTACGAAATTGGTTGCGTCACTTCCGGAAGTGAGAGAAGAAAAAAAATTCAGACATTCGGATATCCTGAGATTCAAATTAAATTCAAAGCTTTTTCCTCTTTACCTACTTCTGTATTTATTACTGTTTCTTACAGCGACGATCAAGCTTGCTAGGAAATTTTTTAATATGTTACTTTACATTTATATATGTATTAATTTTTATGCTAATCTTTGAAAATTTTTTTACAAAAATTATCAACCCTACGTCGTAATCGTGTCGCTCTGTGAAATTATTGTTATACATTATTGATACTGTTACGTCACAAGATTGCGTGAGTGTAATAACTGTATTAATGACTAATGCATAATTTTGAAAAATACGACGATCGATGATTGCATTATTCATACGGTACTTTTATTATATAATGACGATTTGAAGATTTTTATATAAAAATTATCAACCCTACGTCATAATCGTGTCGCACTGTTAAATTATTGTCATACATTATTGATACTGTTACGTCACAAGATTGCGTGAGTGTGATAACTGTATTAATGACTAATGCATAATTTTGAAAAATACGACGATCGATGATTGCATTATTCATAAGGTACTCTTATTATATAATAACGAATTCAGGAAGACTTACATGCAGAAAAGGAAGGATTGCATTTGCTATTGTATGAAATGGAATTCTTGGCGAACCACCAGCGAGAGCCGAAGTAGCGTGCTTAGCGAATTTTAATCCAACTTTTATATAAAACCTACTGCAACTTTACGTTTAGCATTGCAGAGAAAAAATTATTCACGCATTTCTTATTCCATTCGTGGACTTCAACCCTATTGAGCTACAGGTTCGAAGAGAATTAGCATTACTTCAGTACTGCACTTGCGCTTTAGAACTTCGACAACAACAAAATCGAATGAAAATAATTGTATGGATAAAAAATTATTTAAAAAATTTGGCAAATTTTTACCAAGCTTTAATACCAATTATTACACCGGGTGAAGTTTTTCACTGAAGAAGCTCATGTATTCGCATAACAAGAGGAATAACGAGAGAAGAAATAAAAGGATGGAAAAAATTACATAGTCTAAGTACAAGCGAAGTGGCAGAATTAGTCAAAGTGGCGAAGGGAGTAGCAAGTGAAAAATAAAAATGAAGTGGCTAACTCTTCAGAAAAAGAAGCACCGACTAGTCCCAGACTGGTCCTAGAGACGTCGCATTCTTGGCTCGAGTATCATTTTGCTCGGGCAGTCATTGCTAAAAACTTCTTGGGAAGCCTTTGTCGCTCATTGTGAACTTACGTTATTAATGCGCAACTTCTCACGTGCCTAAAGCGAATCATACGTAAAAATTTACATTATATAGGCCGACGTGTGATTTGACAATGAAAAAAAATTCATAAACTTTTACAACGATTATAATGATAGTGATGGACAATGGAATTGTTGGTATAAAAAAAGGCAATTGTTTATAAGCATCCTGATTAGCATAACAAGCCAAGTAATAAATTTAACGAACAAATAAAATTTTCTGTTTACTTCGATTCCCTGTAAAATTTTATATGTATAGTATAGTATATACAAATATATAGTGATAAATGGCAAAGCGTGATCGATGCGTGTTGTTGAATATTAATAAAATAATTAGCATAAGAAAAAAAAGTAGGGAATATAATAAATAAATCAAATATGTTCATTATGAATTGTATATAGAATTGTATATAGTATAATAATAAAAAACATGAATTTGGGTTTATTAAATATTAATGTGACGTGGGTAAAATTGTACTTGATTTATTCATATAAATATATAATCACACATGAAATTGCGAACCCAAAGAATGAAAGTTGATTTATAATTGAAGCTAACAAGTATTTCTCACTTGACCTACGTATTATCGAAAGTAACATGTTTCAGGTCTTAAAAACTTGATGGCGATGAAGTTCCTAACCTAATCAACGTTTATGGTTAATAATGGCTAAATTAAAAATTAAATATTTAGACATGATTAAACTTTTGTTTTTTATTACTTAGGGGTCTCCTGCGTTTTTCGAAATAAACGAACAAAAATTTTAAACCAGAATATGTGACCTGGAGTTGAAACATAGATGAACTTGACCTGACCTGAACCATTGCACCTCTCTGTACCTCTCTTTCGCGTGAACTTGAACCGTACACTTTTTTCCCCCAATTGTAGCTTCAGCCGAATCTATCGTCCATCTTTCCTAAATTGACTTTTTTTTTCCTTCCTCTTTCTCCAGTTTCTCGGGCGTCGATGTGCGTTGGCAACAATGAGTACAATTCAGATCATTACACTTACTGAACTGGTTTAGTAAAAATAAGAGAAGAGGCGTGCCAGTTCGCGTGCCAGGTTTGCCCAAGTCCTACTCATAAAAGAGCATTAAAAAATTATCAGCCAAAAACATAAGTTCATTCAGTGACTAATTTGAATATACAGTACATAAGTCTTTTTTTTTAATTAAAAATAATTTTCAAATTGTCTTATACATTTAATTCTAAATATAAATTCAAACGTACGATCGTGCAGTTTACCATTTCCCGTTTTTTGCATTAACGATGATTATTTATTAGCAATACTTCGATTTCTTTTATCATAAATCTGAGAACCACAAATGAAAAAAAAAAATACGAAACGGTGACAGCTGTGTGGGAAAATAATTTGTGAAAAATTTCATTTACACTTTTTAATATATCACAGAGTCCTGTAGTCGTAATAACATACACTAACCTTCCCGGTTAACGTTATCCCGTTCAATATTTTTAATGTTAATGCACGTTTTTGGAAATTTTTCATAAAATCGTTATTCTCCATTTTACCAAATTCACTTTTATACTATAACCATATACGCACCTCTATTATATTAGGGTTGTGTTCCATTTAATACTATAAATTCTAGGAACGTACCTTTATCGTTAATCACGTTCTTACTGTTCAAAGAGGAAGATGATTCAGTATACAGAACAACCATAATACTCGTCCATCTCCTATTAATTAATACAGAAGTCACTATAGGCATAAAAAAAATATTAAATTTTAATTACGGATCAATAAAATCTCAAATTATTGATAACCTACGTCATTTAGCTGCCCAACGTTGTCTTCACGACGAATCATAAAAATCATTTTATTACTGATAGGTATTTTAATTCAGTAGAAGGAAATGAAATAAAACACATTCGACGATGAGTATGTAGGCCATATGGAGATGGAATACTGATAATCGCTATCTTGCACACATTTCAACGGTGTTGCACGCGACCTACGTATTACCAGAACGCTTCAAATTTACCGCAGTCTAGAGAATCACAAACGGAAAGATATTTTAATGACGAACGGCGATAGTCAATCAAAAAATAATTGAAAAGGTGGACGAATTTTTGAATCAAATGTATTAATAAATTATAAGCATTGATATTGGACAGATCAATTACTTGTCTAAATGTATTCCTTCGTGTTAACTATAACACATTAAATTTTATATTTAAACACGTGCTTTATAAATTTGCTTCTAGCTCTCTAATTTCAATAACAAAGCTAGAACGTCAGAGAGTTCATAGGATTTTCTAGAAAACACATAAAGTATTCATATCATGTCAAACACTCGTGTAATGCACTCGTAAATCTATATTCTTCAGCATGGATAACGTATCACGTATGGAAATGTCACGAGAAATAGATACAAACACTGTTATAGATATGAAAATTGATTTGACGATACCTGTTGACGAAAGTAATGAAGTTTATAAGGTTGTTCAATATTTCCTGATTGTTTGTGCTATTTGTGTTATCAAAAATAGCAGTAACAGTTATGATTAACCGCACAACGCGAGAATAAAATAATTTATAATTTGTATTGTCGAGCACGTATACAAAATCGGCGGCCATCTTGGCATCTTGCATGTTATGATGCGCGCGCATGCGCACAAGTGCCGATGCATTAGGCGTAAAATAGGACTCAGACTCGTGGTACTAACTAAAGTGTTATTTCATTTATGTGTACCGAAAATAGATTTACGGAGGTGGAGTGACCTTGTACCCGATGTAAATATCAAGATCCACTTTGATTTTCATGCCCTTGTGAATAAACGCTAACCAGGTATAGATACGTGTACATATAAATGCAGTCTGACATTAGGCAATGTTCAGATATCTGACGTATCTAGGCTATATAACCGGGAGCCGTTTAGTTTAATTTAATTGCCGTTGCCACAGAAAATAATCTTGATTATAATTAACGAGTGCGCACTGCCGTGACTGAGTTTAGTTTCTGAGACATATGAAACAATAACCTTTTCTGACGGGTGAAGTTAGCAGTGCATGATTCCACGAGCGTCTTCGGGTAATTACAAGATTACTAAAATTCATCTCGAAGATAATGAAGTTATAATTCGAATCTCGATTCGAATACCTTGTTCCTGTCTTAGCGTTTATTTTTAACGTTTTAAATGACAGCGTCAACTGGAGGATTGGTGGAAATAAAAAGCGAATTATGAGAGGATAAATCTGGGATTATTTATTTTTTCATATTTTTCTATGGATTATTTTGCAATCTCTGTTCTTTGATATACTTTCAAGTACTTTTTTTTTATTTCAGAGTATTCAAAATTTAGTTGGTAATCATTTTGGAAATATATTCAACTGTGAATTTAAAAAGAATACGAGTTGTACTGACTCTTATGAATTTTAACTAGATTTAGTATAATTATTTCTATACTCTAAATACCCACAGAATGTCTATCGTGGTGATTGTGATAGGATCACTTTTCCAGGTATGAAACACGACCTTTTGATATTGTACAACAAATATTTGCACGCCGATTAAGGCGTGACAGTTTTTTGGCAAAGCTTAAAGAGCACGATCTTTCTGCGGACAGTTCCAGCCGCCATTTCACTATTTATCGGTACTGTACAGAGACGCTAGCCAAGTAGAGATAATAAATGTTTAAATAAAGTATGGAGCTAGCAATGATAAATATTTGGAAAAAATATGATACATATTTAGCAATTCATTACACCAAGTACTGAACAACTTTAAACCAGCTACATATGGTAATTTGAAACCTACATAGTTTTGGAATAACAAAGCAACTACTCTGAGCAGTATTTTTGTCTGGCCTACCACATGACATGCCATGCATGTAATGTATATAATCTCTTCAAACCTACCTCAACACACCCGAAAAAATCGTCAATTAAAACGTTTCTCGTAAACAATATTCCAAAAGTTTATGATATAGACACTACCAGTGAATATAACTGTGTTTATAAAAAATTGTGTTTCTTACTATTCAACCTCCACATGAATTTTTTAGCCTTTAGACTGCCGCAAAGCCCTTTATTGGGGCTCAGTATAATTTCGAGACAATAAGCCACTCGCATCATGCATAAATGTTTGATAAAAAAGACCAAAAAGGATCTAAAGGCTAAAGCACAGTAGATTTCAAAACTTTACTGTCTTATTAGAGTAATTAATACATTTTCTAATTTTTACTAATTTTCTTGTACGTATATATTACAAATTTGACTCCAGTGGTTATTGACAATTCTTGCTGTCATCCTTAAGATCGATTTTACTTGTAAATACGTGCTTTAAATAACGAAGGAACCGAAATTGTTATTGTTAATTCGATTTATCAACATGACTTTTCTTATATTTAACTATTGAATAGCGAGTCCTTTAAAAGTTATCACGTATGCTATTATTCGGCATTGTTACCTGGATAGAATGCACTATTCAAATATAGGCAATGTATATTATTCGTCTACAGACTCTTACGTAGTCCAGCTAAATGACAAAATGACGACCAGAGTCTGTCCAAAGTACAATTGTGATATCGGCACTTCAAAGGAACAACGGGATCCGCAGAGTTCTTTCATTAATTGTTCGGAATCTTCATTGTCGTCGATAACAATACTTTCAGTTAACTTCACCCATTGTTATTGCACTGTTGTTGTTTTAGTTACTCCATACAATTTATCTCACAGACAACAGTGCCTTTGGCATGATGATATTGACGTTACTCTTATAAAACAATTACGTCTTATCAGCGTAACAAATATTTATTCTTAATCATAACTGTATTTTTGTTTTATCAAATTTAAGGTTAGTCGACTTCCCTACGTTTTTTATAATATTCGTAGAGTCGGAGAATAACGCGCTGTTATCAGTTGAATTATCATTGTACATTCCTGAATATTGTTCCAACAAGTTTTATAATCATTTGATGAATTAACTAAGAGAGTTGTCAGACGAAAATTATGGCGGGAAATTCAAAAATTTCATACAATTTTTTTTAATAGCCTATTAACGATGTTCCAGCAGGTACCTGGTCGATGTGGTGATCAAGCTCCTGACGAAAAAAATTATAGGGAGAAAAAACCAACCCGTTAGCAGTTAGAAGCCAGTCTGAACGACACGAGCGAGGCGTGTTCACATGAAAGGAAAACCTGAAGTAGCCTGTTAATGTAAAACAGTCTTTAAAAGGTTTCTGGCGGGGTTCTTGAATCTTTCAGATCGCCAAGAAGATCCCTGATGCTTTGAAGGTAATACAAGACTGTTCAACCTATGTTTATATAGATTATCCAGGGAGCACGTTTCTCCTCAAAGATCCTTTTGATAGCTTTGATATATACATGTATATATATTTTCTCTTCAGTCTATCAGTGATTAACTAACGATGGATGAGGCTCATTCAAAACGAGTGAGTAAACACTTCACAGCCAGTTAATTCAATTTTGCATGGTTCCGTGCCAAGAGAATGCTCCGTTTTATTGTCATCTTATAATTTTGTCAGATCCAAGTAAATACTGTGTATTCATTTTATATTTGGTTTAAAAATTGAATAAGTCTTTTGTTAGTTTTCTATATTTTCTTTCCTTTCATTTATTGCATTCTCACGCACTCGTTACCGTCTGTGTAGCGACGTTCTGAAAATCCTAGTTGTCATCTCGTGTCTTACAGATGATACACCAGGGTGGAATTTGAGGAGCACCGAAAGAGGATGATGGCGGCTTGAGTAATTTATCATCGAGAGCTATCTGTCACGAAGATAAAGCCTAGGAGAGTTTCCTCTCTATGTAGAGCTTCAAACTTGGCATCGATGTATAGACAAGCCATTTACAAGGAGCGCCATCTTTATTTTTTCAACCAATTTTTCAAAGCATACTCTTAGATACGTCAATGATAATGAATCAGATTGATAGAAGAAAATTCAAGAGTGAAATATGTGAAGTATTTGATATTTTATAATAGAATATATCAGAGCTTGTGAACGTTGGCGTATTGGGTATTATGTTATAATTATTATTTAATTTAATATTAAATTTGCGTAATTAATTAAGGATGGTAGGAGCTATGATAAAAACTAAATTATCAGTATCAGTAGCTATGATACTTATAAACAGAGTATATTCAACATAAGCTATGCATCCGAGTTATGGATCTGATGTATACGAGGCTGAGCTATAAATCTGAGCTGTGAATCAGAGTTATGAAATATCCTCTATATTTTACCTCCACTCGAATAATATCGTTGCAAAAGTTATTTTCTATTAAAAACAAAAAATAATCCAAGTTATGAAATTACGGATTTATCCAAGCACGAGGAAATGGAATACGTAGAAGAAATAAGATACGTGATATCAGTGAATATAATTTATCCTCTTTGAAATGTGAAACATTTTTTTAAAATCGTAGCATCGCGTCACAGAGCACGAGAATTTAAAAAAAATTAATTTTTGGCTCGCGTGTACCTAGAAACATGTTACAAATATTTTAACAATCAACAGAATGCTGGAGTAAAAAAAAATTAGAAAAAACCGTAAAATGTATTAAACTGAAATATTCCATCAACTTTCTAGTGTAAAGAAGTCCCAAAGGTTTTTTCACACTGTTCACGCTGTACCTTTCAAAAAATTCAATTAAATTTTCTTGTATTCAACTAGACTGACGTTAGAAACGTATTACTAGCAGTAACTAGAATAACAGTGAAAGAAAAACATAAAAAAAAGATATCCAATTTAAAATATCTAACCCTTGAAAGGATCCCACGTATTCTCAGGTGTACCAACAGCTGAATACCACTGCAATTTACACCGCACAAGAGCTTTTATGAACCTTTTCCATGCGAAGCTAGTAAAAGTGAAAAAGGAATGAAGCTAGAAGACCTTTTCCTTGTGATCCTTGTATTAGACACTTATGCATATCAGAACAGCACTCCAGCCATTTTGTTTTTCTAACAACTTTCCATCTCGCTACGTCGAGTGTTCAAATATCAAGTGGAAATATTTTTTGCCACTCCTTTAACCTTTTGCTTCACGTCATCAATCCTAAATTAGGTTACCCGTTCCTTCAGCTGTATCCAACTTCATACATTTATTTTTCATTAGCCATACTTATATTTCAACGAATGAAATAACCAGCATTCCTTATTAATTTTACTCCTGGATATATATCAAGGATATCATTTATTATACTGACAAATAATTAACTTGTCCATCCAACCATTTAATTAACATAAAATAATTAATTTTGCAGATACCAAAGTGCAAGTTTTTATGATGAACTTGCAGTCGATGTCGAAATGGCATAATAATTTAACAATACCCATTGTTAAGGAACACATAAAGGATGGACTAGCATATTTCAAAATAATCTGAAATATGAAATATTTAACAGCTGTATCCTGTATAAACACAAAGAACATGCACCTACAATCGCAAAAAGGATCATTGTGCCAAATGACTGTAACAAATGGCAGCCATTAAAGGTATTTGCATGCAGGTGCATAGTTTATGAGTAAGAAAATCGATACACGATTAATGGAATGACCTAAATAATCCGTCAAATAATCATTTTCTTCAATTGTCAAAATAGATTCGAGCAAGAGGAAGCGTCAAGGGAAAGAAGAAAAAAAAGTGTAGATCCTTCGCAGAAAGGTGTCCGGATACTCCCTTTTCATAGGGAAATCGATCTTCCAAATAAGGGTTGGCCATTGTGACTTTCTGAGTACTATAAGTAAACCGCAAGCAAACAGAAGCGAAACACCAGCGGATCTGTGCGGTTGCGTTGTCTCAAGTCGATATTTACGTATAGAACAAGCGATAGGGACTTTTAGTGGTCGCGTTAAGCTACCGCCCTGACGTAAGAAATGCGGCGCCCTATTAAAGCAGCATAAATCATTTAGTAATGGATGTTGTTTGCGCCTTGTGGAAAGACGATCTTGGTAAGGAAATAAGGAAATAAGGAAAGAAAAGAAAAAAGAAACGATTTACCCTTATCTTAGTTCTTCTTGATTTTACTTTTTTACTCCGAGTCTTGTACTATCGTGTTATTCTTTTTTCGTCTTTTTTTCCCGCCCTACTAGCTTTTATTGACTGCTTCTCACGTGTTGTATCGATGACAGCTGTCGGCTCTTGCAATTGTCGCTGTTTTCTCAACATGTCTGTTTGTATTACAACAACCTGGAAATAACTTTGTCTATCTAGAAGCGTCGCGCGACATGTCACTATCAGAGTAACGTACAAATACGTGGCTATATAAGGTTTTTCAAAGTTCCTCGGAGACTAAGTGTATTTGGAATTTTGTATTCTTAAGCTTTCTGATGTGAGGGGCTTTTTAAGCCTTGATAATTCACAGGATCGAAGGACCGCGTGGTCGTCGGAAGTCATGGTGACAATAAGTAATTTTTAGTGGTTATTCGTTAGTGGATTAACGAATTATAATTTTATGTTTTATTCTTTTTACGAGCTCGTAACGCATGACTTGTCCGCATTCTGCTTGGTTGGAAATATTTTAATTCCGATATATTTATTGCGTGTCGTAATATTACTGTGCGGACAGAAAGCTCTTTCCATGATACAATCTGTGGGAAACAGCATACGGGGCACTCACTCCTGTTGCAAAATACATACAAGAAATGGGCACGAATATGCTGAATAAAATGCGACTTTGTCAGGTAAGCATTTTGGTAAAAACGCTTGAATTTATGTGGGTACCGTACGAACGTTGATATGGTAATGATAAGCAGTGACAACATGGTGGGCAGTACGTTTTTTCCCCAAAGACAAATTTTAGAATAATGTATGACATAAAAAATTTAATCTAAAGCCCACTACAAAAGTATACGAATGTTATACTACGTAATACAATATTAAATATACCTGCTTGAAGCCACGATACATGACGCGAATCTCCTGTCGTGAAAATTTCGTCTGTCTAAGAAGTTCTTCGATGGCGACAGGTCTGGTGGTCTGTTGACGTACCCGCGAGCTTTCAAACTCGAAAAGCGCCTCTTCCGGTCCTGGGGAGTCTGGCGGCGTCGCCATTTCCTGTTGAGATGGCGATAACGATGATCCACGATTTGAACTTTGACTCAACGAGCCATCACAATCGCGAGTCCTTCCAGCTGGTTTATCATTCTAATTCGAAACCCTTCTTTATCCTCACTCCGAGTCTATGGCGAGACGCTGATCGGACAATCGTCACACGATGATACCCGATGATCCACGATCACGCACGACGCGCTCTGTCGATCACGTAGTCGCAAGTGGTCGTCCCGATAAACATGTTTTTGAACTTCGGCGCTCTCCGTCAGGTTGACAACGTCTACCGATGACTTCCAACGTCTCAATCTGCATTAAGAACACTTGACGATCGTCGGCACGCTTTATAATTAACAGTAAGGCAAACGAAATATAAGGATTGTGGAACTGATCTGAATAAGATTAATAGACGAGAAAGAAGGAGGAAAGGATCGTCAGGCTTTATGGTTTGATGTGTAAAATTGGCTTGGACATGCAACGTCAATATTAGTCTCTATTAAAGTAGCACCTTTTATTATTGGACTAGTAATATTTCAAGGGTAAACTTCGAGGTTGCTCTTGCGGCATTGAGGTATTGTCTTACTTTCTTTTAGGTTAGCTTAGGTTAAGGACGATACTCGATACGTCATGCGATGCTTGAACGGTATGTGTTCCTGTAGCATTTTTGTGACATGAAACTTTTCTTGAGTACTAAGGTATACATAACGTTTGATTTTAGGGTTATGGAGCGCACAGTATTCAAGGTGAGTAAAGACAAATCTTATGGCGGATAATTTAAAAGTAAAATAAGAACTTTAGCTGGTTCCTTTAATACTTAAAGTTTTGAAATGGCGGTAGATTCTTTTTTTTTTTAATTTCTTTACGGAGTCTCAAGGATTCCATTTGTTACTTCCGTTTACTCTTTCGTTTATGGCGTTAAATTTTTCCTGCCCCTTTCTCGCCTTGTTTAAATATTTATGCACGAACGTTGCAATCTCATCTCTCTACGTTATGCATAAATAAAATTCGATTTTGATACTCTCTTGATCCTTCGCCGGAGCTTTCTTGCGCCTTGGATTATGCAATTTTAGGAAATTGAGTATTTATGTATAGTAGATTCTGAAGAGTCTTTTGACTCTTTTGAGATACTTTACTATTGCAGAAAAGAGATAAGAAATTATATGAATATGCTTGATTTAAGAAATTTTATAAATTTATAACAAATTACAATGGATGTCTTAATTGTACTGTAGTCAGACTTGATGCTTTATAGAGTTACTCTATTTTTAAAAGGATTTTCATTTTCACACGTTATTTTTATTATCAGAATTTTCAAAATACTCAATATATCTTTTAATACACGTGGATACATATATATTCAAGAGTATTGGACCCACTGAAGTTTCCTCTAGCCACTTGATCTACATGATGAAACCACCTTTAGGTCCAATACTTTTGAATTACCCTGTACACTGTATGAAATACCCACTGTAAATCGTTGAATACTGGTGGCGCCCTCATATATCCTTAAATCATTAGACTAACACGTGAACGACACTTAGGTCTACAAGTAACAAGTGCCAATGAGCAAATTCTCCACATAAAATTATTTTAAGCACAAAACTTGGCACCGTCGAATACTCTAAAACGATACCAGAACATGATAGCACTTGTCACTTGTGCCTCTCCATAATAATATCCCTTTTCTTTGTACTGTCCATAAACCTATGTCACCATATTCATGAATGAAAAGTTCCCAGGAAAGAACACACTCTATGAAGAATATTAAGAAATTATATGAAGGAAGCAAACAAAAATTATCCCAGTGAAAAAAGAGGATTGCATGACAACAATGAATATACTATATTAAGAGAAGAATCAATTGGTCAATAAAAAAGTGAGTATAGTTTCTACCTAGTTATTACAATAAGCCAAATTTAATTGTACTATAGAATAATTAACTCAATGACCAATACAATAATGCAGAGAGGAAACAAATATTGTTTGTATATAACAAACTTTAAACAAGCTAACCAGTATCGAGATGGTTATTTCTATTATCAGAATGGATAATAAAAATAACCAAAGACTCTTATGTCAAATGAAAAGGACTCAACGCCAGGCGTCGTGTCCCCGTCGAATCGTGACCGGTCACTGGAATCACCATGAAAAACAAACTGAAAAATCCTAAAAACTCTTTTTCCAGATATATAAGAACCTCGTAGTCTTCCTGGCGTCTCGACGTCTGGAATCGCCCGGACGAGATTCGATCCACGAATACGAGTAACGTCAAAGGAAGCGGCAGGAGTCGAAAGCGTGGAAGAGGACTGTCAGAAGCTGAGTCCAAGTGCCTAGTACCCAGAGTACCAGTGCTTCCACGAGAAAGGATAAAAGGACACGTCACGGGTCTCGAATCTTCCGGTTCACCAGGACACTTCCTGTTCAAGATGATTATCTCCCAGTGATCCTTGTACTTGGAGCGTTTATATTTGAACAAGCGAGTCAGGTGGGTGCCGCGAGGTCCAAGCATAAATTTCTATCGAGAGCGGCGCGGCGCTGTCCTGAAGAGGAATTTCAGTCTCGTGTTGCACGAGAGACTCAGGATGATCAGGTAATATGATCGGTGCTATTAGGATTGATTTGCCGATTGCGTCGATCGTGCTTAATGACAGTTCTGATTGGTTTGGAAATTTTGATGACAGGGGTCCAGCGAGGATATACGGTACGACGCTTGGTGGACACTTGATGGTGGAGTGGATTTTTGACATCAATCAAACTGGATCGGATTGGATCGAATGTGATGGACGAACGCCGGGTCGACTGCAGCAGAGTCACGGTAACGACGTCGACGTACGCGGCGGACGCTACACTGGCAAGCCCGGGTAGAGCGTCACCACGAAACACTCCTCTTTCTCTCTCTTTATCAGGCTTTCTCTTTCTCTTTCACTCACTCCCTTGCTCTTTCCTTTAGCAGTACTCCCACTACGACGACTCGCGAAGCCGGCGACGCCGACGCTGAACACTGACTCCACTGCTGTTACCGCCTCCCTTCGGCGCACCCTTCACCGACTCATCCGCAAGCGCCGCGACGTTACCGAGGACGCTCCGATCGCTTCGACGCCCTACCGAGCGCCAAACACTCTTGTGTCCTTGTGTATCCGACGGCAGAGATTCGCCATGCGTTCCAGAAACACTGATATTAAGTTCTCACGTTTTCTTTTATTTTATTCCTCTCTCTGGTAATATTTTATTACCATTGGTTACATTATTTTTATATCAACGCTCTCATACTTTTTCTTATACTCTCAACTGTGGGTTATATACTGTTTTTCTTTTCGAATCACATAAAGAAGAGGCGTAACTTCCTACGGGGTTGTTTGTAAGAGATACTTGGGCACGGATTTTATTAAATTTTTGCTTTAATGCTTTTTTATCCCAGTCCGGTGAGGTCCATGGAGAGCGTGGAACAGGGTGGGTATATCGACCTGCGGAACATAGACACGGCTCAAAGAGCCAACGCAGAAACCCCCGAAATACAATGTTACTTCATAGACTTAGTATAACAACCCCAAAATTACAGCCCATTTCGAATTTATTTCTGCGACTTTTGTACGTCTTCCAAATTCATTTGACGTATCGAAACGTATTTCTTCTAGTTATAGACGCTATAGATATGGGCGATTCAGTAGAATTTTTTTATTGTTAAATTAATCTAATTGATTATCATTTATATGTTATTATAGTCATTATTGGAAACTGTTATTTGCTTATTTGTACGTGGCAGTGTGAGTAGGGATAAAATTAGGTAGATTGATAGGGTTGGGGCGGGGGGGGAGGATTGAAGTATGGGTGTGCAGGAATGAAAAGGTGGAGAAGGAGAATGGGTTATAGAGGGGTTGAAGGGTTAGGGAGAAGCGAAGAGATCCTTTCTAATTAATTTTATCACAGTAAACACGGCAGCCGAAGGTTTGGCCAGTTTTCTGAAAATAATTTGGCAATCTAACATTAAGGTCATTAATCATCTTTGAAATTAAATATTAATTTTTCTATGATGAGGCAAATTAGCTAAGACGACCCTGCGGATAATCACAATAATTCACATGACATTATCACATTGTTTTTGTTAATTACGACTTAGCAGGGACTCGTTACTAGTCCATAATTTAGTCTTTTAGACAATAAAATTTATCTGACGAATTATCTTTTATTATCTATTTGAAAAAGTATCATTTAAATCAAATATATTATCAGAGAGCTACCTCTATCATGGAATGCCAATAGATAACGATGTGATAAATCGCCATGACTATCTTGGATCTGTTTTACAAAATATACTAAACTGTCAAAAAAATTATTATTAACAAAAAGTCATTTTTCTCTGTAATTTTATTTCGTGGAATGTGATACGTTTCACAGTGTTATTCAGTATACGTGTAATACGTATTGAACAAGGGAGTAATGATTCAGTTTTTTTGTTTCACAAGTTTTAAGCACATAAGTGCCCATGTGCATAAACGAGAGTGTGGTGGTAGAGCATTAAATAAATCGCACTGATATCGGAAACTTATTTGTCTCTACTTTCCCTATATTGCCACCTAGTGGATTATAAAGCATTGATACGCTGATAAGATACTGGGATGTATGCACGTATGCACGTACCTTTAGCTTTTCAAGTAACTTAAGTACGGGGTTGTTACGAGAAAAATCAAAACCATTAGAACAATATAAATATATAATAATAATACATAATAATAATTTGTTATATTTTTTGGAGTAACGTCCAAGTTTCACGAAGCAAACTAATATTTGCGAAAATTCAAATAGTGAAAATTACCACAATCAGAAATGATGATATTAATATAAACGATGGCATTAAAAATTATAAATATAATAAACGTATTTATTGCGAAGGAACAAAATGAAGCTGCAATTTAATGAGCGTAATTTTTAATCACTTTTTCATTAGTTTTAAACTCTTATATTTTGATCTAAGTAATGAATTTGGGATTGTTTCGTTTGGAATTTTGTTGCAAGAAATAACTTTTCAGGTACAGTCTATTGCTTGTAGATATATTCTATATAGATTGTGTATATCAATTGTAGTGGGTGTAGTTCTACGCTTTAAAATCTTACGGAACCGTTCTCTTTTACATTTATTTCTCATTATGGACTGACAGGACCATTCGATTATTCGAAATATTTTATGAACTTCCACTTCATCTAAAACTGTAGCTTTAATGGAATGTCGATAAGTAGCTATCGACCCAATGACCTATATTGGAAAATTATGCCTGACTGAACCTTCAGTTACGTTAATCCAAATTTGCTCCTTATGTAGAATAATTTAACACCACATAAAACAAATGTCTTGTCTAGAAAGATAGGTGTAATCTATAAGTTATATTTCTAGAGAAAAATTTAATATTCAATTTGATTATTAAAAAAACGTTATACAACGTCTTACATGTAAAATTAACATTAACATCACTATGTCAACCATCAAAATCATTTAAAAATTCAATAACTTGACGGAGGCTTTTTCGTCACTTCACTTGATGCAATGCTGATAATTTTTTTTGAAACTAAATAAAAAATTGATCTTGCTTTTAATTAAGATTTTTTTTTATAAGTATGTTTTTCTTATTTATTCATTGTATTCTTTAATATCTTAGAACATTAAGGAGTTTATCATTTTTGTATAAAAAAGTAAATCGGATCGTCGACAAGTGTTGAGTGAAACATATAAAAATCATATTGCAGTATTTGGTGCAGGTTTTGATCGTGGCAGTATATCAACGTTTATATACCGAGGACTATAAAAAAAACTCTGTAGGGTGTACTGGAACTTCCGCCATTTTTTCAAGGGATGGATTCCATACGAAAAAAACAAAGGCTGCTATTTATATCTCGTTTACAAAGCCACGTTTAGACAATAGTATGGTAAAGTAGAGGGTAAACTTTGAAATAGGATTGACTAAATTTCTTTTAGGTCAAAAGCTAGTAGTAATTAGCACATTATACAATACTATTCCCAATTCTATAGACCTCCTTATTGTATAATAATTAAAGATAGATAAAGAACAACGATTTATTCATTAATCAAAATTATTTAGCAATTTTAAACCATGAACAGTTTAAAATATGTGATTTCTCTATTATATTCTTCATTAGTGGAATTAAATGTATAATTACAATTTAATTGGATAAATTGATCAATATACGAATCAACTGTAATTACTTTTATTTTATTGCTTTATCTTGTGAAAATTTTAATGTCACGCTATATTAATTTAGACAGTATATTTTTTATTCGTTTTTGTGTACTTTATTAAGTATAATGTCCTATATTCAGTATAGCCACTCTGCGACTTATAGATTACTGACTATACTTATTAATCTACTTGAAAGACCTCCATTAGGAAATTAATTGAACCCTTGACATTTTAACATAAATAGCTTTTTCTCAGAAGTTTTTTGCTAGAAATTTATTCCTTGATTATGGATACGTTCCAAAACTCGTTTGCCAGTGCTACGAGTGTTGTTACATGTCTGTCTCTTATTTATACGTACGAAAATAAAGAGATATAACGATATTTGCATGTATTAGCAAGAGATTTTGGAACGCAGCTTACGTACTTATCTCAAAAACATAACATATGTACTCTGCATTTACTTAAAATTCTGATGTGTGACCTTCGCGTGTTGGTAAAAAACCAGGAAAAAAAAAAAAAAAAAAAAAAAAAAAAAAAAAAAAAAAAAAAAAAAAAAAAAAAAAAAGAAGGTTTGCTTGAAAATTAAAACTATAGATGATCCAACACATTCAGCATATTGCATTTCTATTTTTCGAGGGATCTGTATTCAATTCATTGTATATTATTTATAACGTATTATATACAAATTTTAAATTCGAATCATCTTTATAATAAAATTCATAGGACGTATTTTAAAATAAACATTGGTTTTTCCATATTAATTGGTGTACAATTTGCAAAAGTTGCCGTTAATATCGTTGCTGTTGTTTTTGCTATAAGCAATTGGTATATTTTGTATATATGTATTTCAGTATATCTTTTTTATCATATAAGTTTGATAGCGTAAGACGTGCTTGAGAGTTAAGAGCCAGTTAGAGCCAGTGTAAGCGTGGTGTAGAACGGGTGTTGTTATTTTGAAGAAATCGATTAAATCTCCTCTACAGTTCTAAAATGGCTAAAATAGATTTAACGTTATTAAAAAGCAAATTTCGTGGATCGATGCTTGGAGTATTAACTGGAGATTGTCTCGGTCATCCATATGAAGGAGATGAATTATTAACCAGTGGAATGAAAATCATCCTTCAAAAGTACTTTGATAAATTGGAAGGACCTCCATATAAAGGTACGATTATAATTGATATATTAATTCTTATTGTTAATTAATGGGATGACAGTCGTATAAAATATATTGTTTAGAATTTTTCTAAGGAAGAGGTTATGTTACGTTAATATATGTATATTTGATCGGTGCAGGTGTATAAGGAATTCATATAACTATATAATAATTATTATGATTCTTCAGTGAAAATCATGTATACAAAGATTATTATCTGTAAACTATTTACATGTTACTCAAGTAAAGATACTTCAACGATAAATTTTATTGCCTACAAAATTATTTCTCAATGAAACATGTATTAAGTAGGTAATACTACTAGGTTTTTGTACTATTATATTGGACTAATGGTAACTAACAATTTTATTTAGTACATGCTTTGATGCCTAGCACATCACTTTTATTTATTTAGCCCCTGCAATGCAGTTTACAGATGATTCTGTAATGACACGATCAATAGCGCAGTCGTTGATTGAGAAACGACAGCTTGATCTTTTGGATATTGCAAAACGATTTGTCAAATCCTATTATGAAGAACCAAATCGGGGATATGGACCTGCCGTAATGACTGTTAGTATAAGCAATATATTATAGTACATGAAAGCAAAATATATAAAGTAAACCCAAAAAATTATAACTAATAATTACATTATGAATACTTAAATGCAGTGCATTACTTGGTTAACCTATGATTAATATTACTGTTTTTCTGTCTTCACAGGTTTTTGAAAAACTTCGTGCCAATAGATTTTCAGACTTATTTACTCCTGCGAAGGAACAATTTAATGGTCAGGGGTCATGGGGTAATGGAGGTGCTATGCGTATTACACCTATAGCTCTGTTCAGCCACCAGAATATTGACCTTCTTTTAGAAATGACGAGAAAAGAGACACAGCTGACACATACAAATAAAATAGGTGTGGATGGAGCTATATTACAGGTACACTAGAATTCAATTATAATATTCTGTTAGCATTTATAAAATGTATATACTTGCGAAACGTTAATACAATAATAATATTACATTTTTATGGAATAACGCTATTAACAATTGCTCATGTGAGAAAAGTTTTATTATTAGTATATTAAAAGTAATTACTTGTAGGCAATTGCTATTCGTCAGAGTCTTCTTTTGAATCCGGACAATGAGCTTGATGTTAAACAATTTATTGATGATTTAATTAGTCAAATGGACACAATAGAATTTGATGAGGAAGGGTATGCATTGAAATTTTTATTTGGCTTTTTCATTGCCTTCCGACATAATATCTTCATAATTAAGTTTTTTTATAGTTTAGGCCTAGTCGAACCTAAACCATACAAAATTCAGCTATCCCTAGTTAAGACATTAATATCTGAGGGTGAAGCAGCTAATGCAGAAAAGGTTGTTCAAAAACTTGGTACTAGTGTTGCTGCATTATATTCTGTGCCCACTGCTATATACTGCTTTCTAAGAGCACAAAATCAAATAGAAGGTATAATAACGGACAACCCATTCAGAAGAACCATACAATATGCTGTGAGTTATAATTCCTACATCCTATGAATCTTTTGATAAACCTAAGTTCCTAATTATAATAATAGATTAATAGAATAATATAAAATACTATAAGTATACTGAAATATGGCTATAATTTAATCATCTTTACTTCATTTTATATATCTGGGCAACTCTTGTCAATCTGCAGGCTTCAAAATGTGCATAATTTTTTTAAATGTTTTACCATAAATTCTAATTTCCTCAATGCCAACTAGTTAATAACAACGGTGAAGCTTGCTGCTAATAGTGGATAAGTTAAATTGATCATTCGTGCAGAACATTGAATAAAAAAGTTATAAAATTAAAACAATGTTCCAGATAAGTTTGGGTGGAGATACTGATACAATTGGCGGCATGGCTGGTGCATTGGCTGGTGCTTTTTATGGTGACAAAATAATTAATCCTGCTATACTGAAGCACCTCGAAGCCTCAGAAGAATTTCAGCTTCTTGGAGAAAAATTATCCGACGTGACATTATCGCAATAATCATCAGAACACACATCTCAATGTATATATCAATATATTTAATATACAGAGTGTATCAGCTACGTAAGATGCATATTTTCGGTTTGCGGTGAAACAGTGAACGTTTTTAAAAATATCATGTGACAACCATTGATATTTTTTAATTAGGCATCGATTGCGTATACTATTGTTCGTGTTAACGGAAGAACCGACGTAGGCACCATCAGTAAGCGAAAGAGAGAGAGAGAGAAGAAAGTTTTTAAAAACATTTTTATTACTAATAAAGACTCTTCTACTTATGAACTGACTGTTTTACCGCCTGTGCCCCACTTTATTGCTGCCATAATTTTCGGTAGGATTGCCTTTCTCTACAACGACTGAACGCTGTTCATATTACCTGGCAACTCTGCGGCGTTCCGCTTCTGATTGCGGGCGAAATTCAAAGAAAAAGAATGGTTCACACACGTGGGATAATACTTAATTTTGTGGTACCTCATAGTTGCATCGCACATCAGAACGAGGCAGAGCGAAAAGCCTCCCGTAAACCGAGGTGACCTGTGAAAAGCCTCTTGTAGCTTAGTTTGATCCTAAAACTGCAAAAGTTATAAAGGCTACGCCCGGGAACACCCTAAATCCTAAAGACCTAAAGACTCCCTTAGACTCCAAAATCTATGGCGACGAACACAGAGAATCCAAAAAGGAATATGTAGACTTCCAATTTGTCATAAAAAATAACATTGCAATACGTTTTATGTTATATTACAATCTATGTCGTATAATATAAAAATACTTCAAGGATGCGATACATGATAGTATTGTCTATGACAAGTATTTCTTAATAAAACTGTTTTTTGAAATACATATAACAATAATTTTACGTATAAATAAATATTAAATAATAATTAATATGATACATACAATGAATGTAAGAAATAGTTTGTCTATACTTTTTTTAAAAGATGTTTTATTACTATCAATTTAGGATAACCATATCATACGTTTTAACTTATTCAATATGGCTGCTCTATGATCACGTTTTCCAGTTTAACGTCAAAGTATGTAGTGCCACCCACAAGTCATTAAAAAGAATTTCTTATCAAGCTTTATTGATTATACTTCAAAATCTGAGCCTAATAAATAAACTTACAATGGCAGAAAGTACTCAAATACTCGAAGGATTCTTGTGTCCAATTTGTATGACTGATTTTAAAACCCCAAATCAGTTAACCAAACACTTTGAAGAAGTACATAATGATGATCCTGAGATATTAAAATCTCTTAAAGGTTTGTTTCTCAAAATATCTCTGTTGTTATTATGTGAAAGTGTTAAGTATTTAAAATATAATTTAATATTAAAAGAAAGCTGATATGTTATTCTATAACACGATACTTTTGTTGGATTCTTACAGACTTATTTGGAAAAGCAAAGAAAAAGATTTTAAAGCAAGACGAATATCCAGAATTGTTTGACAGTTCAACATTGTCCACTACAAAAAGCAATAGCCCAGAAATTAATTGGGGTCATCAGGAAATAGGTATTAATAGATTTCAATTTAAAATGAAGATATTGAATACTGAACGTTGTTATTCTCTACTGAATATTCACAGGATTCACTAGATCACACACTAAATACTTTAAGGAAATTAGAGATGCAAGACTTGAACGTTACTCGACAGAGACTAATAAGCTTCTCATAAGATTAGATAAACTATTACGCAATTTACCAGTGGACCCTATAGACAGAAAAAATCACGAACGTACTATTGTGCCATGGATCGATGATAAGGATGTAAACTTATGTCCGACCTGTGCAAAAAGTTTCCACATTGCAAGAAGAAAACATCATTGCAGACTCTGCGGTGCTATTATGTGTCATGATTGTACCATGTTCCTATCACTATCAGATGCACGTAAGTACATAAATTGAATTCTTTCCACAAACATGAAATAGAATTTGTTAAATCAACATAATTAATATTTTCTAGGAATAATGACAAGTCCTGTTTCTGTACAAGACGACTCTGCTGTCTCTCCAACATCCTCTGAATCTCCAATTACAGGACGCTTTGTGCGGGCTGGAATAGGACTAACAAAATTAGCACGTTCACCGTCGAGTGGTAGTTTGAACAGCGTTTTATCATTGGTGAATGATCCTGCTAGTGGTGAACAACATTTCCGCCTATGTATTCACTGTAAAAACCTATTAGATGCAAGAGAACGTTTAAAGCTGCGCCAATTCGATAAACCAATTACTTGTCAATTCTATGAGAAAATGCGCTCTTATATGGAAGAAGCTACACGATACGTATCAATGTATAATAAAATGTATCAATCACTCAGGTAAGAAAACATCAAAATCATTTCTATGGACTATTTATATCAGAGAGCAATAAATAAGTAACTCAATTATATCAATATCTTACAGCGAAGGTGAATCCACCTACAATCTCAGGGATGCTCAAATTCTACGTTCTAAGATTGCTAAAATTGGGGAAAATATAGATACAATTAGCAAGAAAATTTTAACTTTTGGTGTAAAAGATGCAGAAAATCCTGTTCAAGGATTGGAACTGAAGTTGCATCAAATGGTCAGAGCATCAGCAGTAATATTCTTAAAGGAGCAATTATTGAGTCTCCCAGCTATTCCAACTGAGGAGGAATATCAAACTTTACAGACAGCACGTCAACAAAGAATAGAAGCAAGAATAGAATACCAAAAACAGTTGGAAATGGAGGAAAGACAAAGAGAAAAGAAAAAAGAACAGAAACGTGAAATTAGAAGCGTTGCGGATGTTGGTTCGTCTGCAACTAAAGATCAGGTATTAATTATTACTTTACAACAATATTCTTTTATTCTCACATCCTGATTTTGCCCATTTAAGCTGGTACTCGATCAATCACAAGGATGGGGACCGTCCAGTGCACCTTTACTTCCCACATCGATGGACCCAATTATTGAACAGATGAGTAATCTTCGAGCATATATTAAACAAGCTAGAGCAGATTGTAAATTTGATGAAGTTGCTACATTAGAAAATAACTTGAGAGAACTCCAGAGTGCTTACTTTGCTATGAAGCACAGTAACAGTAGCGACGATTAACTGAGTCTAGGATTTTAGCTTGGGTAATAACTGTGTGTAAATTAATGCCTACAAGCGGTTCGTGGGAAAGGCGAACAATGTGACATCTAGCTTTTATGCTCTTTTTTACTTTTCTTTTATTATCCACTATTTCTGATAACATTTAATACTATATTCTGATATTTACTATAATTAGAATATTTAACCGAAAAAATATAAGTTGAACTCCGTTTATATTAGATAGTAATTTGAAAAAAAAACGGATATTTAAATTTTGTTAATACATAGTTACTAAATATTCACATGTGATATTATATATATACAGATATATAAAATAAACGTTTAAAGATATCTTTACAGCTTTCTCGGGTTAGTCCTACTAATCGAAAAATTCTCTTGATTGATATAAATTGTATGATGCGCGAGAAATGTAAAGCCAATCAGGGATATAATTTTTATAGCAGTACAACTCGTCTGACAAAGCTGTGAAAGCTCTTTAACAGTTATGAAAGTGAACAAATATGTGGATAATAACAAATATTGTCCAATGTAAGACGTCGATGCAATAATTCTTCGGAATTGCACGTTGTTCCTTTAATTTTGTACCTTCACAATTCGCGGGTCATCAAAGAATTAATTTTAAGTAAAGTATTTATATAATATTATTAAAGATGTATAATTTATAAAGTTTATATAGACTGAGTCGTATATTAAAATTATTATGGAATGTCTTGAATCACAGTCCTGTATATTTTCATTGCACAAATACCATTCAAATTTTATACATACAAAATAAATTCTTCCTTTAAAATTGAGACTTTTCACAAAATTACATAATCAGTTTTTTTTAACGTAACGTTTTTTTTTACGTAATTTACCTTCATTACTTATTCTTCATTGACAGTTCGACGATGACTTGCGGTAATTCCGAGGACGTCAGCTCAATAACTGGCAAACTAATGTTACTATTATTATTATTAAGGTTATTATTACTATTACTATTATTATCACTGTGAGAATGCAAGTTATGAGATTCTGAATTACTTGGAATGATGGCATCAAAAACAGGTAGATTCGAAGAACTAAGGGAAGTAGTGTAGTTGGAATCACTGTCATTAGATGACGAAAATATAATTTCGGACTCTTTCTTTTGTCTTGCAACTTCATTAACGAATACAGGAAGCTCATATGACATAATTCCCGGTTCTATTACAGAAACTCCACGTCCAAAATCTGCTACACACAATGGCAATGCCTGCGACATCAATTCCTCTCCATACATATGATCCTGCTTTGAAGCTTCTTTTTCGTTCTCTTTCAAATTCGAAACTTCTTCATTTGTGTAATTTTCATCCTGTTTCAAAGCCACTGCTTCTTTGCAATCGTGAACCTGTTCCTGTGCTGTTTCTTCGTTAGAATCCTCAATTTGCTTCCAAATCACTTCCTCTTTGTTACTCTGATCATCTTGCTGCTCCCGTGTTACGCTCGAAGAGAATTTTATAAAATTACTATCACTTGTCTGTTCTTGAGAAATTTTACTATTGTTCGTGATGGGATCTTCATTTAATTTTGAAACATTGTCACTATTACTATGGGCACATTTAGCTGGACATAAGTTCTCTACGTAAGATCCAGAAGCATATTCTATCTGTATCACTTTATCTTCGTAAGATTCTTCAAAATCATAACACGTAGACTCTGTTTCAAAGTCGTCTGACATTAGCTGTTGACGCTTTAAGAGCTTAGCAATCTCCTCTTCCGAAATATCAATATTGGCTGCTAAACCATTTTCCGGTCTTGATGGAGGTTGTTCTAGAATTATCAAGTAAAGCATTTATTAAATGCACGTTACTTATATACAGATAAAATTAATGAAGCATCACTCCCTTACCATTAAGGAGATTAACTGCAATATAATCAGCTGCTCTGAAAAGTTCAGCTTTGACTAACAGATTTAAAGTACTACGCAAAGTTGGTCTGCATTTACCCATTGTACTCCATTCCTCTAAAAAGATTTCTGCTGCATTTTGATGTTTTTGAAGTACAGCTTGCTCTATAATACTGTAATATTTTTATTAAATGAAACATATCAAACTTCTAATTCCTACTACTGTACAATTGTGACATTACTTACGTAAAATGTTCACTGGTAAATTTTGGAGTATGTACTGGAGCTTCTTTAGGTACTATTGCCATAAGTCTTTTCCAATTGTCCGAAACACTTAAGATCTGTGCTAACGTATACAGTTCAGCTGGTCTCAGCTTACGGATCTCAGTATTGGAGTTATACATTATTTTCATAATTATAAAAACCAGTGACTGCAATTTAAAAATTCATCACACCCATCTTATTTTCATGTTCCATTATTGAATCTCTTTCACTAAATTAATTTAAAATAATCACCTCACAAAAACTACCTGTTATTTATCAAATGTATACTCAGTTTTCCCTTTTTTTTTTTGTAAAATGTATATCAACGTTATTAATTCTGATCCACAGTCATCCAAACAAACTTTCAGATTGACACTAACTAAAATGACAGTAAATTCCAGTAAAAATACTAACCAAAGCTGGTTTAATGAGACTTTATTCTAAATCTCACTACAGATTTGGTTCTGTCTCGCTCAATTGCATGTAAGTAAACAGAGACAAAACGATTCTGGTAATACCAGAGATGAGTATGGAAATAGGGTAAAACTGCAGTATACGACTCCGAACTGAAGTTGGCTGCTAGTGACTTAGGTTTTTTGAGGTAACGCCATCTGCCGGATATAATGTGAATCGCATGGAATAGTCACGCCGCCTATTAGAAAAAAAATTAACCATAACCGACAGAAAGAGTACCAGTCGACCGTCGTGTCCGGGGAACATTGAAATTCCTACTGAGCCTAAATCTGGGTGTACTTATGAATCCAAAAATATGTCAATTGTAAAATTTCGATCATTGATAACTTCGATTTGCCAAAAAACGAACCAGTTCTCACTGATCTCGTTGTTTTGCAACTACGACATTGCCAACGATATTTTTCCGAAAGAAATTCAGCATTGCATAGAATCATGTCCTTATCGCACACTGGACACTTGAAAGTCCGAGCCATAGCTCATAGGACTCATAAGACCGTATCTTTGTGCAAAGGTTTATATTTGAAGTATTATACGCAATCAGAGATATTGGTCCAACCTCAATAGAATTCTATTGATGCTATTCTATTCTATCTTCTATTGGTCCAACCTCAATAGAAGGTTTCTCACCTAGTTTGATCAAATCTACGAATCGTATCACCATTGCAATCGATCACACACAATCCAATTTAAGCAAAAGAAATAATAGCACACTTGTGTTACACGCTTTGCGAGCTACTAACGAAAATCATGCTTCTACATGTTTTACGAAAGCAGACGATACATTGTAGCAAAAAAATCTCGAAACAGTAGATCAAATTTAATGCTCAATGTACAATCACGAGCTTGCACTTATACATACTTATATTTTTAAATAATATTATTTATAAATTAAATAAACACATATTTAACATAAAAATATTCACATGTGATATTATATATATACAGATATATAAAATAAACGTTTAAAGATATTGTTACGTCCGAACCAGAATGGAGGCTTAGACTGGTGCCTTTACC